AATAATGTATACTTATTTTGTTTATAATTTAATCTATTTTATTTATTGATAAATCTTTATTAATTTAGATATAGTATAGGCACAGGGAACATTTCGATATATTCTTCTTGCAGCAGATAACTTCTATGAAAAAATGAGTAAAAATCAAAAAGAAAGAAAAATATTAATGTCACAAATAAGAAGTTATCGATATCGTACTGCACCATTTGATATACCTTTCAGTAATAATGAATCTCCTACGATGTGGTGGACTTTTCTTGAAGATAACTTTTTAAAAAATAAGGATCATATTTGCCAATTAGCTAATAAACTGTTCTCTGTAACACCATATGCAGCTGGATGTGAAAGAATTTGGTCAACATTAGGGTGGTATTATGGCAAACGTTGTACATGGCTTTCTTTAAGTAAAATTGAAAATATGCAGAAGCTTTCTGCTTTTTATCTTGCAAATTCGAAAAAAGAATTACCATATTTTTCCGCTAACAATAGTGCTAAAGATTTATATGAAGCACTATCTAATATCAATCTTAGTGATGATGATGATTACGATGAAGAACAACCTACCAGTGAAGAAGTACAAGATGTAGAGTTTCCAGAAGAAGAAGTGCTTAAAATTGAGAAATTGTTGAATCTTGATGCAGCTGATTTTACAAACGACTTAGGTGAAATAGTTTTTGATACTAACTTCGAGTCTTCTGAAGAGAAAAATGTTAATGTTCAAATTAATGATGCTGAGGGCAATGTTGATGAGGAAAATTGGGATCCTGAAAAGGAAGCTGATATAATGTTAGATTAGTCAGTATAAAATATGTATAATCCAATCAATGTAGTTCAATAGATATAAATTTTTTAATTCAAAATTAGCTAACAGTAATAAAAATTAAAGCCCTGATCAGTATACATTTTTCATTCAACTTCGAAGCCTTCAAGTTTTAGTTCTCAAATTACCCTAGGTACAGAAATTTATTAGTCAGCATTCTATCCTATCCTATATATCTTATATATTAAAACACTACTGTCTGTTCATCATGCAATGGGCCAATTAGAAATTTAAACATTGCTTAAACAAATAACTGATTGTGGGCATATCAATATGATTATTTAAATTGTTTG